GGAACTCCCCAGCCAGGCCAATCTGATTCCAAGGCTAGGTCATAAAAACAATGCGAATTTCTCCTGTCTCCCTTTCTCTTGGGACACGCCATGGGAAGCCAGTTAGCATGCAGTAATAAAGTCCAAGCCACATCCATGGATGACTTTAAATTTTGCACCTCTACCTCTTTCATACATCTCACTTTACTGCACTTAACACATTGTATGCGGGAAACATATTTATACGTTTTGCCCTTCTTTTCAAAATATTTTCAATAAATCGGAATTTTTACATATTTTATTACATTTATTTTAATTTCCAGTGAGTTTTCCAGTATTTGCTTGTTTAAAATTTAAGAAAAATAATTCAGTATACATTTTATAGTAAATACAAAAAGTTTCATTGGAAAAAATATGTAAAACTAAAGTTATCATAATTTTACTGAACGTTGCCATTTGCACAAAAAATTAGCAAAAATGGCCCATGCCACCTGTTAGAGCGCGATAAAAACTACCCGCAAACAATGTGTTAAGTTGTTCTAACTCCAATGTTGTTCCATGCCTGAAGGCCTTAGAGTGCACACGTATTATATTGACGTTGAACATCACGTGCTCTCATATTAATGATATTGTATGGGTTTGAACACATTGGAATTATTCTACACAGACTCACATCATCGACATGAAAGGTCCTAAAGGAAGCCATTTGTGGAGTAATAACGGGCAGACACTGCCTCTCTTCTTTTTGTGCCTGCCTATGCTGCTGTCCTCATTTGGTGCGATTTTCCTCATCCAGTGACCTTTTGGGCCCTGTTATATGTAACAGCCAGTTCCTGAGAGTCTGACTCTCTTGTCTTGAAAATCAGTGTATGGGATCATGTCCTGTCATCACACATAAACATCTGTGGTGAAGATATTCTTTTTTTATCAGGTCAACATGCACTTCACCTGCGTTTCTTTTCTTCAGGTTGCTGCTGTGGAGAAGAGAATGTGGAGGCAACGACTGAACAGAAGGATTCTGTAAGAGTGTCACAGGCAAGGAATCCCAAGGTAGCCTTGTCTTCCCAGAAGAGTCACCCCTGTGAGAGTTGTGGGCTAGTCTTGGGAAACATTTTCCATGTGATGGAACTGCAGGGAACACAACACAGACAGATACTGTTGAAGTGTGGGGCGTGTGCAAAGTGGTTTTATTTCCCTGCAAAATTTCACCAGGAACATGTGAGAGAGAAGACTGCCATTAGAGGTGTGGAGAGGATCTCACTTGCAAACAGCTGCAATTTCAATGTGTCCCAGAATCCTTTCACATGCGCGGAGGTTGGCCAGGGTGTCCTTACGGGGTCAGGACATCTCCACCTAAAGGCTACTCAGACCAGGGAGAGTCCAAATGCAGTTTCAACGTGTGGGATGACGTTTGAAAGCAGGAAAAATTATTACAGTAGAGAAGAATGTAAGACAGACATTAGTTGCACCCACACATTTATTCAAGAAAATGGGGTCCATCTTGGAAGTGGGTGTTGTATGTGCTCTGAATGTGGAAAATATTTTACCAAATTTTCTAGCTTTCATTATCAACAGAGAGGTCACACGGGAGAAAAGCCTTATCAATGCAGTGAATATGGAAAATCTTTTTTCGCTAAGACCAATGTTCATCAACATCAGAGAGTTCATATTGGAGAAAAGCCTTATAAATGCAGTGAATGTGGAAAATCTTTGACCAGTAGTACTGCCCTTCAACGTCATCAGAGAATTCACACTGGAGAAAAGCCTTATAAATGCAGTCAATGTGGAAAATCTTTTGCACGGAGCGATGCCCTTGGTCTTCATCGGAGAGTTCATACAGGAGAAAAGCCTTACACATGCAGTGAATGTGGAAAATCTTTTACCAGGAGAACTGGCCTTCATTATCATCAAAGTGTTCATATAGGACAGTGGTTCCCAAACTTATTTGGCCTACCCTCCCCTTTCCAGAAAAAATATTACTCAGCGCCCCCTGGAAATTAATTTTTTTAAAATTTTAATAGCAATTAAACAGAAAGATATATGTATTAATGTTTCTACCTTTTTCGTAAAATATAGTAAAGGTGTAAATTAGAAACATTGAAGTTTGAAATTATGAAACTATTGAACTCAGAATAGAAAGGTAATACAAAAAAAGTTAAAACAAATGCACCTGTGGCCATCACGGCCCCCCCCCCCATCGCTGCAGCGCCCCCCAGGGGGCGGTAGCGCCCACTTTGGGAATCACTGATAAAGGAGAAAAGCCTTATAATTGCAGTCTATGTGGGAAATATTTTACTGCTACGTCCAACCTTTGTCGACATCAGAGAGTTCATACGGAAAATACACCAAGATGGCGGCATGCCGGAGCCTGCCAGCACTACAGTCGAACAGTACCTGAAAGGGGGGTGAGGATTAAGAAAAGAGACAGACACAAAGAAGGGATGGGGAGGACTGCCAGCTCAAGACTGCAGCCCCAAGTTTATTTCACACAGTCTTTTTATACACTCACTGGTTACATACGCATTTAGCAGAACTTAAGCAACTTCCGATTCGATCAGCGCAAGCCTCCCCTCTAACAGTCTCGGCCAACTTCCCTTTTTCCGATCCTTTGTCTCAGTCGGCGGCTGAGACCTGCTATCATGATCTGAGCTCAGCTAGACTACTTCCTTATTCTCACAAGCTAAGCTGCTGCAGCACAATTTTCCTGCTTATTTGGCATTTAGCAAGCTAAATCAGTCACTTGAACTTTAGTGGGATAGAGCGTGTGACAGCCCACCTTGTGAGAGACTGTCTCCTCGGGACCTTGTCAAACTGAGACCGCTCCCCACATCTCCCCCCTTTTTATTAATTAAAGCATAGTGTTTAATCTTATCTCATGGATACCTGCCTGCAAAGCTAATAGACCAGCTATTCCTTTTTTGACAAGAAAAGGAAATAAGCATAATAATAATACTACTACTGTCCCAATCGCTGCAATAGTCAAAGCCAAATGTTGGATGGGTATCTTTAGGAGATGGGACGGCCTTTAACATCTGTTGCAAAAACTCCGAAGCGGTTTGTGCTGCATTGAAATCTAAAGGTTCTGCGCTCGAGTCCTTGAATTTCTTTATGTAGTTCTAATAAATCTGTTGACTCGTTAGCATGATGCCAAATGCCTGTGAGATGTTTCTGTACCTTTTCCCATGTGTATAAGCTCTGATTATATCTAATAGGAGTAACACAAATCCATTTATATTGAGCATGACATTCTAGTCTAGTTCTTAGCTTAAGGCTCTGAATCTCTTCCCCTAAGTATTGTACCATGTCATAGAGTGCATTTAATTTTTCTTCCATTTTTTTGTCAATAGATTCCTGTGTTCCAAGAGCAGTGCTCACATTCTTAGGCAAATCATTTATAAAATGTGCAGTCTGAACAGTCTGAGTTAGGGCTATAGCGGCAGCAGAAGCTGCAGCAATCATGGCAACAAGAGCAGTAATTCCTGCAATTAATAACCCAATAAATCTTCTAGGTCTACTTAAAGCTCCTGACAGTTCTTCCCATACCTGTAGCCCTTTGTCTGAATACCATGGTTCAGAGATATTGACAGGTAGCATAACAAAGGCTGGTTGGTGTAGAACAACCACTTGCTTCCCTAATGGGATATTAGTGATACAATTAGTTAAATGACAGTTCTTACAGGAGATGTTAAACATTGTTCTCCTAAAGGTAATATTTACATTTCCCACCAATAAAGCATAAGGATCAGGTACACAAGCCGTTACATTTACCGTCCAGCTGGTGGTCGGTGGTTGCTGAAATCCGGTGTTATTCGGACGTAGCCACCAATTTACTCCTTATAGCAATTATATTCCCAAATCTGGCTACCAGCTTCCATAATTGCAATTGTACATGTCCCCCCTCAGATGTCCAGAGTCCCTCATACATGCCTCGTATCCAGGATGTCTTGTCTGTGCCCAGTCCAAAACAGTCTTATTAGCTCCAGGGATGACATATTGCACAGCCTGCGGGATATAGCAGCGAATCCAAGGGACAGCCTGCTGCTTGGTGTAGCCCGTTCCTCACATGGTGCGAGGTCCTGTGGCTGAGTAAGTTTTACAGCAGTCCCAGTTTCTGCTGGAAGTCCCCAAAGGTTTATATTCCAAGTTGCCGAGCCATTGGCACCATGACGGGAGCGGAAAGTGACTCCTCGTGCTGTTAAACAGCCAGAGACAACCGTTCCCTTAGAAAAACAGATTGGGGTCCCTGATCCATACCCAGTATAATTAAAGCTGACAGGACGCGCTTCTCGAAGGTGGCCATTGGAAGGCATTCCTAGAATTCTGGTATTATTAACATAAACGGGCACGGAGCCTCCCTCCCATAAGGAGGGATGGAGGAAAGGTCGATCTGGCACATAAACCCAATACAACTCTGCTCTGGTCGGTGTCATCTGGCATCCAAGGATCGCCACATGGCCAGGAA